AAAATTCCTGAAAAAATGGTGAAAAACGCTGTTTTGAAAAGTTACTTCTGCTAAGGTCTGTAGCAAAAAAAATATTCGCCGTATTAAAAAATTTTACTTACATAAAAGTTGCACCCAGGTGTCGCTTGAAAACGTAATTGGCAGATTTTGCCTATCTCATTCCAAAAAAAAAAATGGCGGCCATTTCCGCACGGCGGGGCTACTCGGGCCACCCCCCAGGGCTAGTCGGGACACCTCCAAAAATGCATTTACGGTAGAACCTCAGTTAGCAAAAGGCTGCTGATACGAAGCTTGCAGTGGACAAGGTTGTTGTAAATGCTCAATGGCATGTTCATGGATACGGTAATATCACATCAATAATACAATAATTGCACATCAATAATACGGTAATTAATGTATATGGCAATATCATATCAATAAAGGAAAAACAAGTAAAAATCACAGAAAATGTCATTTATTCTACCTCTAAATCATCTACAATGAAGGAGGCGGACTTCAGAGTACTGTTAGTAATGGATGAGTACGCTCTGCATGCTTCAAGTGTTTTAAAATGAAGTTTCATTCCCAGTGTCCCGAGTAGCCCCGTTCGACGGGGCTACTCAGGACACTCTTTTTTTGCTTCTGGCACCTTACGAATAGCATATGGAATTTTTTTGAAGATGCCATTCGATAGCCCTCGCAAAGAGCAATAAAATGAGCCTAAACTTGTTTACGAAATGTTTCATCGTAAGAAGTTATTAACAAAAAACGCTCAAAACCGTCCTAAGTAGCCCCGGTTGACGGTACATTGAGACTAAAAAGAAAAGTAGAAAAGAAAATTAACGAAACGTCATTAAGTAGAAGAAATTAATGGAACGCCATTCTAATAAATGGGATAGAGCTGTTGGACGGTTTTCAATACGGCGTAGTGCGATTGTATTGGTGGCTTAGTTCTCATTAGCTTGCTGGTTAATTTCCATGAAGAGGATTTGTACTATTGGCTTTTAACATATAATCCCTTAGTCTACTCTGCCCTTTAGCAGGCTTACGCACGGAAAGGAGGATGAAATATATGCTGGTCTTGGGCAATGCTGGCCTCTAGCATGCATCCCAAATCCACTAAATTGTGGTTTTGTGGTATGACAGGCAATGTCTACCACAACTTAACGTACGGTGGAACGATTCTAACGATTATTTTTTAAAATTATTTCTGATTATATTTATATACATTGTTCTTTGTGTTATACGCTCATCGGCTAGTGAACATATCTCTTACGACTTATAATCATGCACATTTTCATGAAATATTTACAATTTATGAATTTCATTATTTAGGGTAAACGCGGTATATTTCGACATCGTGGGTAATTCCGACACCTCTCTTTGGTTTTTCCTTTATATTAAGCTTTGTTTTAGTTTCATGCGTTCGTTGATGGTTGAAATAGTGATGTCATACATTTGCGCATCAAACTACTGCCAAAACACTAGGTCTGGGCCATCTAGCGGGAAAATGTTGAGATCCAAAGATAGACGGTGCATGCCACCCAATGAGATCATCGAAAAATGTGTCAAAGTTGACAGTTGACCTTGCTCTACCAAATAGTAATAAACTGTTTGTGTAGAAAGAATATTATGGTTTGAGACTTTTAAATACGTCTGTGAATATATTAGGAATCCTTTAAGTATACTTGTATTTACTGATTTTAAGTGGTAAATAAATTAATAGATGATTAAGTTGAGTAACAGATTTAGACACATAAAAACTAATTCCGACACAACTTGAATTGGACACACACAGCTCATTCCATGCTGTGCAAAAATTAAAATTTTCATAAGTAAAAGCCTAATAACTGTTAATTAAAAGCCTAATTAAGTAGTGCTCAATATTCAATGGTGTTCTAATTCAAAGCCGTGTCATATTCCAATACAGCTCGCACAGCGATCGGAATTCGAACACGTGAATGTCGGAATTACATATTAGTACAATTTGAAGCGCGGTCGGAATACGTCTCACCCCGTGCCGAATATAGTCACACACAGTGTCGAAATATAGGGATTTGGTAGGTTTGCATTCTAAAGGCTTTTAAATAAATATGGCAACATTTTGTGACGTTTCATCGTTGCTGGCGCGTAGTGAGGTGTTTTGAGAGTCACATAAAGCAAAAAGAACTAGAGTAATGCATACGGTTATTTTTTTATAATTTTTTATTTCTCAATGCGTCCTTAATGTGTCGGAATATACCGCGTTTACCCTATATTGCAACAAGACTTTGCTGCTCGATGATAATTATATGCATGGATTTTCATATTTTTTCTGTACCACAGATTCAAGCGTTGTTCTGGAATTAGACAGCACAGCAGTAGAAGAAGGGGGATTCATGAGCAACTAGAAATAATGAAATAAACTAAGCAAAGAAGAATGAAGCTTTAGCAAAAAAACTGATAATACATAGACTGGTGCTTGTGCAAAAACGAAGTAGTAGTTTCTTTTCACAGGAAAATAAGCACTGAAAAGAAACACAAATACAACTGGTCCAGGAAAATCAGTTGCAGCTTTCAACTATCATTACCCTTTTCATTAATTAGTATTACCTTCTATTTATTACATTTTATATACCGTCAAATGGGGTAAAAAGGGACGGTTTTGAGCGTTTTTTGTTAATAACTTCTTACCATGAAACATTTCAGAAACAATTTTAGGCTCATTTTGTAGCTCTTTGCAAGGGCTATCAAATGGCATCTTCAAAAAATTCCATATGCTATTTGTAAGGCGCTAGATGCAAGATGAAAGGCTCCTGAATTAATCTTGAAATGGGGTAAAAAGGGACACTTGAAAGAAAACTCAATTTCAAACATTTGAAGCATGCAGAGTGTACTCATCTATTACTAACAGTACTCTGAAGTCCTCTTTCATTGTAGATGATGTAGATGTAAAATAAATGACATTTTCTGTGATTTTTACTTGTTTTTCCTTTATTGATATGATATTACCATATTAATTAATTACCGTATTATTAATGTGATATTACTGTCATGGACATGTCATTGAGCATTAACAAGAACCTTGTCCACTGCAAGCTTCATATCAGCAGCCATGTAGCATTTCTTCTGTATCTGTAAGCTTACAGAATGGTTTATAATTTCGCACAATTTTAATAGAGTCTAGTGATTTCACTATAACAAAAAAGATCATGAAAAACATACCTGAAACAGAAAATAATGTTTTAGTGACAACCATCATATGTTTTGAAGAAATAAATCATAATTTAGGTCAATTACTTTTCATTCTATGATGCCTTTGCACAATTCTATATATAGCATTCTATGTACAGTTTTGTGACGACTGATGATGCACTAATTTTTTGATAAGTGAATTTTTTCGTGGAGCCAGGTAAATGTAATCAAAATTCTTTGTTGTTAATCAATTTTATTGTTAACTGGAGCCTTTGCTAACTGAGGTTCTACTGTAAATGCATTTTTAAGGGTGTCCCTAATTACCCCGTGGGGGTGTCCCTTTTTACCTCGTCACGTGGAAATGGCTGCCATTTTTTTTGGAATGAGATAGGCAAATTCTTTCAATTACGTTTTCAAGCCAACACCTGGGTGCAACTTTTATGTAAGTACAATTTTTCAATACGGCAAATATTTTTTTTGCTCCAGACCTTAGCAGAGGTACTTTTCCAAAATTGCACTTTTCACACTTATTTTCGTCAATTTTTTAGAGATAGTAAATGTTTGATTTCTTGACTAGCCTTATACATAATAGGTAGATGGTAAAAATGTTGAAGTTTATGCCACTATTTTTAGTTCTGCAATATTTTGATTAGTTAAGCTGCTACAACATTTTTACGAAATGTGGGACGTGTGTCCCTATTTACCCTGCCCATCCCTTTTTACCCCATTTGACGGTAATTCATGCATTATTCTTGATTAACTTCAAACTTTTATGTATTACACGAAATTTTGAATAAAAGCGTCTGTTCTTATTTTTGTATTAACTACAGCTTTTCTTAGCATGTTGGAAAAAGTTTCATTGTACAATTTTATCAATCGAGAGCTTCCTCTTACTCCGAACCTCCTTACGATTTGAAGCAATATCTTGTGTATGATAATGCTTGTGCCTGGTATCCATGATACTTTACTAGACTACTTATAGGACGCAAAAACAAACTCAAGGTAGAGCCTAAAAATGTCACTGCTTTACCACTATATACCTGGGTACAGGTACTAGCTTCTTGATGCTTTAATCATAGAAATTTGCTGCAAAATCTCTGCCAGTGATTTTAGATGGTTTTTCATGGTGTCCTTCAAGGTGTCATCTGTTTGGAAGCTCGTCCCCTCTCACATCTTTGTCAGTTTCAGGAAAAGGTAACAGTAGCTTGGTGCTGACTGCTAAGTTAGGGTTGCTAAAAAATGGTGAAAAATGTCACCTTAAAGCCTGTCAAGAAGACTTTGCATCAAGAATTACTATGAAGAATAACATTGCCATGAATGAACACTATAGCTCATGATGTATGCCTTCTTCTCCTGTTGTTCTGGATATCTTCCTGCAAATGTTTTAACATATGGCACGGCAGTATCCTACATTGATTGTGGTCTCTGACTCTGAAATTGATTGTCATCTCTTGCTCTATGGAGAATTTCTGCAGTAGATAACCATTCAGCTTGCAAGAAGTAACTGACAATTCACAACTCACACTTGACAAAAGTAGTCAAGTCATGTTTACTATGTTGCTCAATGTGTAAAGACATTTGATGCCTTAAACAAGTGAGGTTGTAGTGGGAGAGGTGCAGGGTCAACTGCCGCGTATTGCTGGCCATGCAGCTCACTGTGATTCCAATGGAATAAGGTGCTGTCATTGGATATTTAGTTGATTATAATTTATCTCGTTTTATATCTTCCTATTTATTTACAGGGTTATTATTGGCCTTTGCTTATTTACTTTTTATATTCATAAATGGACAATGTTTTATTTATACTTTACAGAATTTAACTTCTAAATATTATAAGAATATTTTGATATTTTTACTACTATTTTAATATTCCATAAACAATTTGTAAATTTAAAATGGTGTTAATTAGTGCTAGTGATGCTCTTATATTGGTGCTGCTGCTAGCTTGTGTGCCCATACAAATGTGGCTCCAGCACCAAACATCTCAATCCTCAACCCCGGACTCAAGAGATGGCGAGGTCATTGCTCTTGTCAGAGAATTTTGCAAGTGAGTGACGAGTCATGCTCCCTCTTTTACATTAACTTGTAAGAGAGGAACTCCTCAGGCAATTGTGCTGGCACTGTCTGAAAACATGTTTTGCATAAGATTTTACAAATTTGTTTCATTAGTTTTTGAAATTCAGGTTCCACCAATTTTAATGATTTAACTTTGTTCCACCATGTTTCCTTCATTTACAAATGTTATAGTGAATGCAATGTCATTTGTAAAATGACTTGTGCCTAAGGCTCATAGTTATAATAATTACTATCAGTTTTTCTTGAATTCAATACATATCTAGATTTTATGCCACACAAGGTGATTTTTGTATGAACCCAGTGATTGTTTTCATTTAAATGTGCAATGTTGGCTTTATAATTAGAATTTATAGAAGTCAATAACTAAAATGCAGTTTTTATGCAGAACAGTCCAGCGGTATATGTCCCCACACTACTGGTCTACATTGCTTCTCTACTCCACCACATCTCTCTACAAGTTTAAAGACAAAGGTGTGGTAGTCAAGACATGGGCACCTTTATATTCCCTTTGTTTTTTCCTAAGGCATGTCTGCAATTTCATCCAGTGTCTATTCATATAAGCTTCAGAATTTGTCATGTATTTCTAGAAAAAAATGCTTTTTGAATGCTTCTGCCCAGGAGATATTAAATTAACAAAGGACAAAATAAATACTAGCAGATGCATCTTCTTTCACATTGTGCAATGTTGTGAGAAGTTATGCTGAATGTTGTGTAGCATGTAGATTCTATTTCTTTATTTGTTTTCACAATTGCTTAGGCACACTGGGTACTTCCTCTATACAATATCATGGTTTGAAATGAGATTTGGATTTTCTAATGCATGTCATAATAAAATATCAATGACAATAATGAGGCTTTCCTTACTGTTGTCTTGTAGTGACACATTAAATTTTCTCCCTTATTGCCACTGCCTATTCATTGACACATAAATAGAAAAGAAGATATAATGATGCCAGTAGTCCTGCTTGAGTGTTGTGGTGATACAGGTTGTTTCTTCCTCATTGCCTGTGCATTTTCTTGAGAAAGTTGCTGAAGAATAAAAGCAATTTAAAGACTAGTATATATCTATATATATATTGGAAGCTAACTGCTTATTTTGGTATTGCCAGATGTGTTGGAGTATGCACGTCTCTCCTACGAACAGCTCTCAGACACTCCTGAGGAGGAGGGCGAATGTCCGGCTGTGGAGGTGATAAGACTCAAACATCCGGAAGGTTACTATGGCAGCAGTGTTCACCAGCGCAGGTATCCAGCTCACTTAATGATTTCTTGTTTAAACTAGGTACCTAGTGGTAGGTATGTTTATTCATCACCCACTGTGTTTATTGTATTCGATTTCTTAGACATTAGAATGTTTAAGCATTGCGTATTTGATAGAAAGGGTGAGTATTTACTACTTTTTAATGTGTAGACTTGTTTATTTTGATCAATACTAGATATTTGCGTGATAAATTTCACTACCTGTATATCATATACGTACTAAGATATTTCAGTTAGAACACAGTTTTTTATTGTTTCAAGTGTGCATATGTATAATTATTTTAGGTTTATAATACATTGCAGATGAAGTACTACTGTAAGTAAAAGTTATATTTTTCTGTGAAAAGATTCTCAAATTGTATTCCTTAGTCTTTGGATGGAAGAATCACTCTGCAGATCCAAGGTGATGATCTTAGAAGTATTAATAAAAAATATGTTGCATTTATTTCCTTGTTTACATGAGATGGTGTACAAACGATACACATGATATTCTGAAATCTCAGAGGCAAGTCAAGTTTTGATTCAGATGTGCCACACATATACTCATCAAGTATTATTTTTTTTTTTTTGTGATGAAACTTCTCATAATATTCCTATTACAACCTTGATCATGAGAAAGATTTCAATACAGGTCCCACGCGACGCATCAACTCTTATTGATTGTGTCGCTAGACAACTTCTTCGCTAGACAACTTCAACTGGGCCACTTCTTATAATGAGGCAGGGTGGCCCAGTGGTTAAAATTCAGAGTATCAGGATTGGCACAGAGAGGCGCGGGTTTGATCCCAGCTCTGTGCGCCAGTTTCTGGTCAGAATCGGGCAAGGAGGCCGAGCGGTTAAGCACAGCAGAATTATTACAGTGAGTTGCGATGTCGAGACCTCAAAATGCTGTGAATGTTCAGCGATGTTAAGAATCGACGACAGGCCTACGGCCTACTAAACGCCGAAACCACTATTATTATTTTAATATCAGAATATTTTTGCAGAAACCTTGAGCATTAATGAGACTTGCATGCAGGTACCGCACTGGACACATACACTTCAGAGTTGGCCAGGTGGTGCGACACACTCAGTTCGGCATCAAGGCAGTCATTATTGGATGGGATGAAACTTGTCAGGTATTATACTACTTTGCTGTTAATTCTGCGACAATCTTGGTATGAAATGCTTTTTGATAATGTAATAAATCAATTGTATTTTGTAATTTGACTGCGTTGTGTGATTGATACCCAATATATAAATAAATTTGCCTCTTTTGATTTCTTTCTAAAGGCAACGATAATGAGTTAATTGATAATTGATTGAATGGGTCATTAATAAGATATTAGATAATTTATCTAAGGATTTTTTAGTAATTTATTTGGTAATTTCAGTAATTTTGCATCTGATTAATACAATTTCGGCGATGATTTTTCATATTTGCAAAAGATATAGAGCATTGATTTTTCCATCTGAGTCAAAATCTACTTATTTATCAGGAATTTATTTTCTTATTTATGCTATGCTTTACTGTAAGAGTAAATGAAGCTTAAATTCTTTCTCCTTTACTTCAATCAAAACTTTGGTGATTATTTCAGTATAAATTTCCTCAATTTTCAGGCTCCTCGAGAATTCATCGAGGAAGCTTATCCTAAAGAACTGGCTGCGGTAAGTTTTGCTGTCAGTTTCTACGATTTCTTCTTAATTACTTTTAATGAACTATAAATTAATCTGTGACTGTAAATTTCGTGCTGCAGCTATTGCTGCAATATATTTTTATCATATAAAGGAGCTTGATTTCCTTTCGAGCCCTGCAGATTATTTTTTATTTTGGTTGTAAATCATTCCTTTGCTCATCTTCTCGAGCCAAAATTCCGCTGTTGGGAGAGGCGGACTAATATGTAGATTGCTTGCCTAGAATATTAATCACTCTATCTAATAAATTAACTGTAAGTCACCTTTAACGTTACCGCGCGTGTAATTGCTATTTCACTGGACAGCTACTTGCAATACTAATTTATATTTCATGTCGATATTGTTTGTAATTGTATTTGTGCCAGTTCTTCATTTGCTTTTCTTGGCATTTTCTAAAGTGCTCTGTTAAACTGTTTTTTATCACTAATTCTGAGATTTTGTTGTGATTTTTATTTTTTACCAAGATACACTCAGATTGATATTTAGATATGGAAAAACGGAGAACAATGATCAACAACCAAGTCACTCAACAATCTATGGGGATAAAATATTGTTCATTCGTTTTGCATTAAAAGTTCAAGTTATTTTTTCTTAAATATTATCGATTTCAGTGAAAGATAAAAAGCATTGCTTCAAGTTAAAGTTGTATTGATTCTTCCTCGTGATAGCTACTGGGTTCATTAGACTTGGATTAATCATCACCGGTCTCATTCATTCAGTGTGCCTGACACTGCCAAATAGATTATTTTGGGTCTGGGTTTTATTCTTACGTTATCTTTCCATCCTGAAACTCTTTCTTGAATTTCCATCTCTTACAACGCTCTCACTTTCCCAAAACTTACCTAGTCTTAAAACCTTCTTTCTTGATAATCTCTCTCATTTAATTCTCCCCAACTTTCTTAAAACTCCGCACCCTTAAAACTCTCTTATAATTTTTTCTCTCTTAAAACTCCGCACGTTTGAAACTACGTACCTACCTGGTATCTCTTATAATTTTTTCTCTCTTAAAACTCTCTCTCATGCAACACTCAATGTATTCCTCGCACGCTGCTATCACGTCACCATGATACTGGTGGGCAGGAGGTGTGCCAGAAGGCCAACTACGCAGTGCTGATGGACCTCAACGACTTCCCCTCCACCGCCGTGCAGTACTTCGCTCAGCAGCACATGGAGCTCGTCACCAACGAGAAGGTGCGCACCCCAACAGCGCTACTCAATCCTCATGTATTTACTTTAATGCTGGGCTTGTACAATTGCTTCGAAATTCGATATTGTCACCAATTAAATGGCACTTCTCCTGTCTCATTAACGCTACGCATGACATCTTTTCATGTGTGGCATTAAGAAAGGTAGATACCGGTACGTAGTTACTCAAAATTGATCGGGAATGAAACTATTTACAACATATTTAATTTATCAGTTATTGCCGTGGTTCTCGATAAAAACTATCTCTTGCAAGGTTCTGGTGCGGATAAGTTTTCCTTTTTAAATGACAATACTGGAGAAGCTAATCCAGTTGGTTTCTGTGAGCACTGCTGTATTGAAGTGACTCCTAGTCGGACAACAGCAACAACTGTCATCAGTCCTGCTAAATCGCATCGGTCTTGACTTTGGTTTCCCACAGTGAGAAACAACTGAAAGTGTATCTGAATTTTGTCTGTACAAAATCTGTACAGTAGATGACTGTGAAATTTGTGGCTTGTACAGTATTGGAAATTTTGACTTGTCATCATTTTCTTCATGTATTTATTTTGTATCAACTATATGATTATTATTTATCTCAACCATTCTTACCAGACTCCTTGAAATTGTGAAGCGTCTGAAATAAAATCACTTTGCAGGTTGTGAATCCGCACACGGAGAAATACTTCTCACACTTCGATGGTTCGAGGTACTTGCCTGCACCCTGGCTTGCTGCGATGTACCCTGAAGACTAAGAAAGACACCGTCTTCAATATCTTTAATAATAAAAATTATAATAAAATTCATGGGTAAGGATACTTGCAAAGGTTATTTTTTGGTTTGAACTGATAGAGGAAAAATTGACGTGACCTGCTGAATTTTTCTTCACGATGATCGAAAAATATTCTTTTCATTGATCCTAATCCAACTTGTGGTTTAAAATTTGCCTCAATAGCTTCATCATCGTGCGGCACACTTGGCATGTGACATCTCGGGATATGCAATGCTATTTAATGCAGATTTTTTCCTGATCCGGTTCAATTCTTGGATCAATTGTCAACATCAATTAAAATAAAAGTATTTTATCTTGTATACTACATTCAATTTTTATCAATCAGCATTCATTAATTTTGCACAGATTATTCTTCTGCAGCAATAATTGATATACAATCTTCTTCATAATTGGTGCTGCCTTGAGAAGAATGGATGCGGTGTTCCAGATAGGCCGTATATTTTTAATGCACACAGCCCTGTCGTTGTGCGGCGTCTAGTCACGTTTTTATTACTCGATAGCTCATATCTGGATCTTATATTAATATTTGTGCCTACGTCAGTTAGGCAAATCTGCTCTCGTATCATGGGGGGAATGCGCCTTTAGAAGACTTTCTTGGGTATGCAGGTTGGTTTGTATTTCACAGTTGATTGTTTTTAGCGCAATCTTATTTTCCTATCTAAAACGATGGCATTTAGATTCACTAGTTATTTTGACAGTACACATTCAATTTGTTCTTTATTAAATGCACAAGTTTTATTTGAGTGCAAGGCTTGACCAGAGGAACCGGAATTCAGTAGTTAATTTCACTCTTAACTTATTGATTCTCACCATAACCCTGTAGGTTTGCAAATTTTTGTACTTACTCTCGACGGCATTTATTTTGTAATTATTCATTGCTGAATAAGAAAATATCGTCAGTAAACGTTCGCAACTGATGAATCAACGTGCAACGCACGTTCAAATATACGTTTGTTTGTATGTCCATTTTTAATACATTTCACAATCTTACTGCTCAGAGGTCTCTAATTCCTTGTAATATTTTCAAACTATACAAATTGTTGAAATTGATGAGAAGGTGTCAAACTCTCAATTTGCGAATCGCATATCGTAGAATTTTATTGGAGACGCAATCAAAGACTATTACGCCTGTGATTTCAAAGTTGATTTGAAATAAACCCACGCATTCGCCCTTTAGCTTCAGCTTGGTAGTGTACCGAGTTAAATACCAACTGCAAAGCCGAGATTTAAGTTGCATCATCCAGGAGGATGGTTATATATATTCATTCAGAAGTTTGCGTCTCTTCAGCATGATTTATGAACTGGAATCGCTGAAATGTTTCTGAAAGATCGATGAACGATGAAATTTAATTCGAACAAATCGCGATGAATGATCTGCAGCTAATACTTCACGGCAGCTTGCGTGTAATTGAGATCGCAGCCATAAAACTATCAACTCAAAATATTGACGCGTTTACGTGTGCGAATTACATTTGAACTTTGGGCAATAATTATTTTATGAACTTGAAAGATAAGATAAAACTAAGTCTGACGAAGAGAATGAAACGAGTGTGTTGAGATGGAACCAATAGTGTATTGAGACAGAAAGCGCATCTATTAATACGGTAACGATGTTTCAGCAAAAAGGAAGGCTGTATGCATCAGGATAGATATGACAGCGCGTTAAAAAACAAACGGAGTAAGAGAAGTGATGAGGCGAGCAAAATAGATTGAAAGGTCACGTGATGCCCGATAAGCGGTTTTATTTTTTGATGCGAGTCTCCGGGGCGGCGTGGTGCTCTTGGCTGTGGTTGCCGCTGAGGATGAGGTAGCTACTGCCCAGCGCCTTCTGCTTGTCCATCTGCACAACAGACCATTTAATTATCGTACAGCCTGAGCTTTGGTTCCTACGTTTCAGACCAGCAATTCAATTAATATATCGTCTAGGTCCGCTCATATACTAACCATTCAAATTTATTACTGTCTTCAAGCTTGGTATACATTTAAAATGAACAAGCTTTTTACTGAAATAATGGTACAGTTTATGAGTAGGAAAATAAAAGCGTTCCCTGTCTCGAAGATGCTCAAGCTAAATCTAAACAAACTTCAAACTTAACGGTTCACTTCAAAATTTGAAGTAAGAGCTCAATTTTTACCGAGGACGGTAGAAAGTTTAGTTAGAAATGTAGAACGTTTTCACGAACTTGATGAATTTAAAGTGATAAATTAACATATTTCATGCGATTTGTTTAGTTTACAGTATGTAATAGTATCGGGTATATCACAGATAAACCTAGTCTTTGACACTTCATCTTGTCACTCTCATTGGTGCCTATCTATATTAGAAGCAGTCAATAAGTCATGAAAGCATCCTCATCAAAATACGAAATTGAACAAACAACTTATCCTCTTATCCCTGGTCCTCGCGTTTCAATTTCGACTGCTGCAAAGACTGGCAGATTTCATTTTGATATTTCTGTTACTTACTTGTCGCTCGAGCGTTTGTAGCGGCGTGTCCGAAGAGCTCATTTGCTTCATGAGCAGTTCCTCTTGCCATTTCTTCATCCTCTTTTCAGTTTTATTCTTACCGGATCCTTTGCCGTGAAATTTGTGAGATAAATACCTGTGAAAATAAAACGTGTATATTTACTAAACCCGAATACTAATTAAATAGCCTATTACATTTTGTTTGTTCATGATACTAATACCTAAGTTTGCAGTGATTCGAACAATTTTGAACAACGTCTTATGCTTACCCTAAGAAAAGAGCTCAGACTTACCTAAAAGCTTCCTTGGGACACAGCTTGCGGCCTTCGTCATCAACGTATTCAAGCGAAATTTTGGGTTTGTATCCCTCTTTCTCCTTGAAGTCCGTGATGGGACCCGAGGAATATCGGTCACCCCCACGTCCCCTACGATCGTCTTCCCCAGCCTTGTCATCAATGCTATAATTGACAGCACGCAGGTGTTGCAGAGCAGCGTTTGCCTTCTTGACGGTTTGATCTTTCTCCAAGTAACCTTTCTTGATGGCAAGTCTTAGCGCATTGGCTACTCCCCTACTGGCGTCAGGCTCTTCATCCAGGATTGGGACCGATTGGTTCTCGGTGATTTCAACCTTAGTATCGTCAATTCCGACCTCCTCCCATGCTCCCCCAACGCCTTCAGGCTGTGTAGAAGCTTTGGTGTTTTGCTGCAACAGAGATGCACTTTGGTCTTCCTCTGCAGCCCGGTTGCCACTCAAGCCGTATGTAGGAATATCACCAAGTGTCCGGCAGAACTCGTCCGTCTTATTGAGAGTAACTACGAGACCAGAGCCACCTTCTTCCGGATCACCGCCACCACCGTCACCGCCGAGCAGTTCTGAGAGGGGAACTGACGACCCTGAAGGTTCATTGGACTCAAGCATGGTTCTTATGTCTTCTAATTTCGGTTGCCGTTGCTTGGCAAGCTTTGCTTTCCGCGAATTCGCTAAAGCTTCCTGAAGATCCAAGTCGTCTTCAAAAATCTCGCCATCAAAATCATTGTCGACATCGATTTCCATTTTTTGGCTTGGGTCATCGTCATCCTCCTCCATTAGTTCACGAAGACTTTTTGTTTTGCCACCCTCAACTTCTCCAGGTTCCAGCTCCTCTGGCTCGCCTATGGTTCGTTCTTGTGGAACACGGAGACCACCACTTCGTGAGCCATGGTGGACCTCACCATCATCGATGGGCTCTAGGTCATCAGCTGTCAGCATTTTCTTTTTCTTCTTCTTTCTCAATTTCTTAGGCTTCCTAAAGGCAGCGGACGCCTCATCTTGAGTCATATACTCAGGCGCCAGCTGATTGTCAGTAGCTGCCAGACTGTGCAGCTGGCGTAGCTTGGCGAGTCTCCGCTGCTTTTCACCCAGATTTTGTAGGGCGCTTTCGTCATCAAGAACTGCTTGGCCTTTACTACCCAGCCGGAATGACGCCTTGGCACGACCATTCAGCTCCTCGTCATACTTCTTCAAAATTTTATTGTGCTTCAAGTTGCCGAATTCGTCCATTTCAGGAGCCTCATATTCAAGATCATCCTTTTGGCGACGTCGCTCGATGTTCTGTACAATAAAGAGGAATATGATTTGACAGAGTCAAAGTACAGGATTACTCTTACAAACATGGGCCGGAATGGACAGTGGTTTGTTTATATAAGTAATTCATTTTTGAAGTTTCTAAAATTCTGTGAAAACTCTTTAGATGTCTTTATCTTATGCATAAATTAGCAATCAAGTCAGTAATTACATATTAAACATTGAGAATAAATTCCCGAATTGCAGTTTCAATTAGAAAAGTTTTGGAAAACCGTCATTTTTAAAAAGGCGTTGCAATATGTTACACGTCCGCCTTCAAGCATGAAAAGTATTCATTTCTTTAGATGTCACGACCGCCCACGAAAGTAACATTAGCGTAGCAGATATTAGGCCCACCAGATCTGCAGCTTCCTGGTCCACAATGTTGACGTTTATCAGAGTGTCTTCAGTATTGGAGAGAACGTCCGCGTCGGCTAACGTCAGGATGGTGGTGCCTTCTATGAATCTGTTACAGGAGAAAATTATGGCATAATTTAATGCCTCTGCATATACAAATAACTTAACTACATTTTTGGCACGTGTTAAGTTGCCCAAATTCATCTTCATAAAAAAGATTATATTGATTTTTAAAAATTTTCATGATTATTATTTGATGAAATTCAAATTAAAAAAGTAAAATCAGAGAAAATTAACAAGTTTCTACATGAGGCCATGAATACAAGAGATCAGCACGCATGACGCTAGCGCTAATGAACCTAGCAAGTGTAGTGCAGGCAATTCTAAGAAAGTACACAGCGTAATCGCCAGAGTAATTTTCAATTTTGTTTCCAGCGCTCGAGTACTAAACGTGTGTGAGCTTCCTTGGCACTGGTTGATAAAACTTGCCTGCTCGTATACCAGACAGAATTCATATGCTAGAGGTGGCTTCTCTTATGTCGCTGCACACGCGACATTTGCTGGCCGAACCATAACCACTTTTAAGAACTAAGGAAGCTGTAAGGTATGAATCAACAAAGACGAAATAATTCTCATAAATAATTGATCATGAATGACTAGTACCTTGACAGAAAAACATATGAGATTTGTTGTTATCTTTTAATGGAAAGTACTAGGTAATTTAAATTTGGTAGCTTTTGGCCATTTCTGTCAAGCCCAAGATGATTAGTGTAATACCATTTTTAAGTTCCCGTACTTTTTATTCTATGTTACGAATGTTAAATAAGAGACGATCTATTTGTAGCTCTCAATAATTTCTAGGTGAAGAGCAGCCCTCACCTGCTCATATCGTGCTGCACTTTAAGCCCAGACAGATGCTGCCTGTCGTAGGCGCGTCTCTTATCCTTGGCCACTTCTTCCTCCACCAGCTCCCCAATCCCAAATTCTGCATCAAGTTCCTCCAACTGTTTGGCCTGTAATAAGACGAACTTGAACGTTAAATTTACTTTATTGCATACAGGAAAAATTGATCAGACCTGGCAACGGTAAGGGTCATGAAAAAAATGCTATTTGTATCAAGTATCCTTCAAGAAAACTAAGACTGAGCCCCGTGTATACCGAGAACACATGATACCGAATTCATTACCTACTGTTGTTAACGGATACCAGTGATTAACTTGTGGATCGCAAGCACACTGACTCATCAGCAAGAAAAGAGGAGATTTCAGGAAAACCAAAACCAGTCTGCACCTTCTTCTGGGCTTCCTCGCGATCCTTAGCGATCTTGCGAGACTTGTTGACCCAAGCGAGCGCATCGTCGTCAGAGTCTGACTCGCCGAGCGTCTTGACGCGGCTCAGCTTCTCTTTCTGGCGCCTCTTCTCTCGTTGAGCTGCGATCTTCTCTCGCAGCTTCTCCACCTAATTGAACGGGAAAATCAGGTGGAATGAAGCTCACCGTACACTCCTAGACCCGTTTGGCAAATACAAGTACTAGTGAAATTGAGATGATAATCTGATCTACCTACACAGCAACTCAATGTGCATTGGAGAATAGTAATAGAATTTGTACTCAGTGAAAATGATGATGAAGAAAATCTTTTTATGCAACATTTTCAAGCCATCATTTTAGTAGCCAACTTCAAGCCATGATCTAGTTCAAGTAAAAGGATATGCACTCCTGAGCCACAAAATTCAATATGTTTTGTTACCTCCATCTTTCGATTTATTGATTTATAAAAAAGATCAAGCCCTTTCATTAATTACAGACTTAAAATTTCTAAGATATGAAAAAAATGCAAGAAACTATATGAATTGATTAATTAAGAAAATTTGAACATCTCTGTCAGAAAATAAATCACAATTCATTGCCTTCTACTCCCACAACTTGAGATCATAAATGTATTTATACGGTAACAATCAATTTCAACCTAACATTCATTAATGAAGTAAACTGCTGAATTTTGCGTGCAACTGCATTCAACCGACCTGCACTTTATCCTGGATGTTTTGAGCAGGTTTGTGAATGAATACATGCGAGTCTTCAACAATCTTTGTCTCCCCAGGCTGGAGGGGAGTGGAATCTTCATCGTTCTGCCGAGGCTGCTTCTCCTGTAAGTGACACAGGAAAGTACTGGCCGCAGGGGTGAAAACTGTTTCTTTAAGTCATGAAAAATTATAATCAAACAGTTTTAAAAAGTTTATTACTATTTATTCAACTTTCATGTTTGTAATAACAGAATACTTGCAAAATTATACATTAAAAAGAAATAAAGACAAGCAATAATTTTGCAAAATAAGCAGTTGGGTGGTGAGAGCTGGATAAAGTAAATATCAATTTAATAATTCATTTCAAAATTTTACAAACTAAAGCAAAAAAGAATTATGACGGTCAAATACATGTGTCAAGTCAAATAATTTCAAACAGGAAAAGTTGGACAATAAAATAATTATGACTAAAAATTTGTCAAAATTCATTCATTTATACATTAAAAATAACTCACTTCAACTTGCAGTGGTTTGAGACCAAGTTTAGCCCGAATTTTGTTAGATTCTTCAATGGACAGTGACGCAGCTCCACCACCACCACCACCGCCACTCCCTCCATCCCCTCCACTTCCGTTTTTGCCACCATTTGCAGCGTTGCTCTTGGCTACAGCATCACTGTCATCCTCCCAGCCTGCCCCAACAGGGGCATTGTCCCTGCCTCGCTTCACGAGCCTCACGTCATCCTGGACGACGTCGTCGTCTAGCTCGCGTTTGCGGCCGCGGTGCGGAGGTGTGTAGGATGGTGACGCATTCCTGCCTGACAGTCGGGGTGGCGGTGGAGCAGTCCCTGTGGTCTCTGTAAAAGAGGACTGTAATTCAGCAACCAGATTTGAAAATAAATATCTCTTCAGAGCAAGGACTGGGGCACTTGATAAGATGAACCCAAAAATTTAATAAAGTTGTGAGTAGAAAACATTAGACAAACCGAGAAGGACAAGGTCACATCTAAACAAGGTACATATATTTCCTAGAGAATGGCATAAATTAACTTGTTACACAAATCCATTGTACAGAGGTAGTTGACATTTAAATTCAGCATTAAAATATAATACCAACTAATTTAGTAATTTGGCTATTGATGTTTGGTATAGGTAATGAAGAAGGTTGGATGATGTGAATAATGAAATTCATAGTAGAAAATAATAGTTACTGAGTGTGCAACATTAGTGATATTTACCACCTAGTTACCAGTAAAACACCTAATTATGCCTTATCAACTCTTACCAAAATGCTCAGTTGCCACACTGATCTCATCAGCTGACTGAGCACTGACTTCTGACAGAGGGGAATTGCTGCGACTGTCAATTACAACAGTTTCCTCTTCTTCCTTGCGCCTGCTTTTCTTCTTGTGTTTGTGTCTGCAGGAAAAAGTTATCACGTAAATAAATTTAGGTCCTATTCCCATATCATCAAGCCAAGTTAGAATTGGAGAGATTTTACTGATTCCTTACTTTAAAAAGAACAGAAGAAGCATCCATTTTAGTGAGTGAAACTAAACATAAATTTTTTAGATGCATGCATTTCAATTGTTCCGTTCGACTGTAAGTAATAGTATGTACGTACTAAGGCATTTTCTAGATATTTGTTTACCTTTCAAGCATTGTTCAAAATTTTATTCATATACGTATTTTATTAGTTCCGTAAAATGGGGTAACTTAGACCGGCGGGGTAACTTAGACCACTTTTCGTTTTTTTTACAAAAACCCCCACAACTCAAAAACTATTTGACATAGAAAAATTTTGTCAATGGGCATTAAAGGCCTAATACTGAGGCTACATAACACAATAGAAAGATTTGAAAAGTTTGCATATCTAATAGGTTAAAAAATTAAAAATGTGACCCATGAAAAAAAGCTATTATTTAAAGCCTCTCAGAGTACCCCCTCCAATTTTTTTATTTTTTGGTTAAATAACTCCAGGTTTTGATGCATTGTAGTAGAACTCTTCTAGTTACATATGCAAATGACAAATTTTAGGGAAGTGTCATAGTTTGAAAATGGGGGGCGCCGCCCCCAAATGGGGTAACTTAGATCACCTAATGTCAGCCCTGACGGGGTAACAGACCGGCTTGGAAGTTAATATAAAATTACCAAATATAACATATTTTATGTTTGACAGCCTATTTATGTTTTTTCTTTATGTTTCAGACTCTACAGAGTCTTATATATGCTAATTTTAACTTAATATCCAAGCCAGTCAATATTATCCCATCAGGGCTGCTATTAGGTAGTCACATTTCCCTCATTATGGGGTGGCGCCCCCCATTTGCAAACTATGTCACTTTCCTCAAGTTTGTCATTTGCATATGTAACTAGAAGAGTTCTACTACAATGCACCAAAACCTGGAGTTATTTGGAGTTATTTTACCAAAAAAAATAATTGATTTTACCACCCAGTCTAAGTTACCCCAAGAGCTGGGGTAACAAAGACCATCACTTTTTTTGAAATTACATAAAGACTATGAGAGGCAGGAGCCAGCAATTTATGGTGAGGGAAGCTAGAGTATAGACCTGTATTTTGCATGTTTCAATTCAAGTTTAATTTAGCTAGTAATAAAATGGCATCATTTATAAGAAAAAAAGTGGTCTAAGTTACCCCATTTTACGGTTTTAGAACATAAAAAATGTGTACAAGATCAGCCCCAAGGTGCAAAGAGCAAGCACATATTCATCAAATATGTCGCCAAAGTCCTTTTTTCAGGTCAAAATCGAGCTTTTATATTTGAATATTTTTCACTTGACCTTGCTTAAGCAGTCCAGATTTCTTGCCAAAAATATATGTGATGAAAAATTTAGAGAGAAATGGGATAGCAAGAGCATCCATAGATATGGATTTTGATGCTCTCTGCAACCTAGTTTTTTGCCAATATTATCTACCAGGAATCTTACAGCTTTAAAAATGGCGCAAAAGCTCAAATCATGGCTAGAAAGTAGATAATATTTCACACCAAATGGGATGATCGAAGCCAATGCCATTCTTGATTATATTCACAGTTGATTATCTAATTTATCTTCAACTGAACAATATATACTATGAATATCTTCTACAAGGTACTGGTACAAACAAAATTATGTTTGTCAACTACCGTATCACATATAAGTCTCACAATTTTAAAAACAACAAAAAATTTTAAATATCACATGAAATGATTAGATACCCTCAAACATGGTACTAAGAGACAGTTTTGAGCATTTTTTGTTAATAACTTCTTACCATAACTTTAAAGATCTTTTCAAGAACTTTTGTATGGTTTCTCTGAAAAAAATCCATATGCTGTTGCAGCTGTTCCTTAGGTGGCAGACGCAAAATAAAAGAGTTCCTATTACCCCTAAAAACGCGATAATCCGGGAAACTTTAAGTAAAACTTAATTTTAAATCGTTTGAAGCATGCAGAGTTTACTCATGAACTCATCCATTACTAACAGTATTCGGAAGTCCTCTTCCTTTGTAAATGATGTTGATGTAGAATAAATGAGATTTTCTGTGAATTTTGCTTGTTTTTTCCTTCATTGATTTGATATGATCATATCCGTACATTACTGTATTATTGAAGTGATATTATTATATCCATGAACATGCCATTGAGCATTTACAACAACCTTGTCCACTGCAAGCTTCTTATCAGAGGCCATATATCATTTCCTTCTGTGTCTGTAAGCTTGCAGGACAGCCTGTAATTTCACATCATTTTAACTGGGAAAAGTGAATTCACTTTACAAAAAAAAAAAGATTGCAAAAACATATCTGAAACAGAAAGGAATATTCTTATGAAATACCATCAACCGGGGCTACTCGGGACAGATTTGATTTTTTTTTTGTTAATAACTGTTATTAACTTCTTACGATGAAACATTTCATAAACAAATTTAGGCTCACTTTATAGCTCTTTGCGAGGGCTATCAAATGGCATTGTCAAAAAATTCCAGATGCTATTCGTAAGGTGCCAGACGCAAAATAAAGATTGTCTAGAGTAGCCCCGTTGGTTGGGGCTACTCGGGACAATGGGAATTTAACTTCATTTCAAAACATTTGAAGCATGCAGAGCATACTCATCCATTACTAACAGTACCTACTCTGAAGTCCTCCTCTTTCATTGTAGATGATGTAGAGGTAGAATAAATGATATTTTCTGTGATTTTTACTTGTTTTTCCTTTATTGATATGATATTGCCATATACATTAATTACCGTATTATTGATGCAATATTACTGTATCCATGAACATGCCATTGAGCATTTACAACAACCTTGTCCACTGCAAGCTTCGTATCAGCAGCCTTATAGCATTTTTTTTTGTATCTGTAAGCTTACAGGACGGCTCGTAATTTCACATCATTTTAATTGGGTTAAGTGAATTTACTATGGTAAAAAAAATTGTGAAAAACATACCTGAAACAGAAAGGAAGGTTTCAGTGACAACCAACGTATCTTTTGCAGAAATAAATCATAGTTTAGGTCAATTACTTTTCATTCTATGATGCCTGGTGCACAATTCTATACATGACATGCTATGCACTATTTTGTGATGACCGATGATGCACTAATTTTTCGATAAGTGAATTTTTTTTCGCTGAGCAAGGAAAATGTGATCAATATTCTTTGTTTGTAATCAATTTTTTTTGGAGCCTTTGCTAACTGAGGTTCTACCATAAATGCGTTTTTGGGGGTGTCCCAAATAGCCCCGAGGAATGAGATAGGCAAATTCTGTCAACTACGTTTTCAAGCCGACACCTGGGTGCAACTTTTACGTAAGTAAAATTTTTTAATACGGCAAATATTTATTTGCTACATACCTTAGCAGTTGTAACTTTACAAAATATGGTTTTTCACCATTTTTTCAGGAATTTTTCAGAGCAAGTAAATGTAGTATTTTTCGACTTCCTTTATACTACATAGATAGGAAAAATGTTTATGTATACGCCACTATTTTTAGTTTTGCAATATTCCAATTAGTTTCGATACTACAACAGTTTTACGCCGTGTCGGAGGCCTGTCCCGAGTAGCCCCGCTTGTCCCGAGTAGCCCCAGTTGACAGTATATCATATTTTTTGGAGAAATAAATCGTCATTACAGCTACTTTTCATTCTATGATGCCCAGTGCACAATTCCATCTATGACATTTGATGCACAATTTGCACAATTTGCACAATTTTGTGATTACTAATGATGCATTAATTTATTGTTGAGCAAATTTCTTTTTGCAGAGCAAGGTAAATGTAATCAAAATTTTTTTTATCAATTGATTTTTTAAACTGGAGCATTTGCTAATCAAGATTCTACTATAAATGAATTTTTAAGGGTGTCTTCTTATCCTTATTACCCCAGGGAGTGTCCCTTACTGCCCACTGTGGCAGAAAGTGGGCAAATATTGAAAGATATTTGGCAATGCACCTGTAGCAAAATTTATGCCTTCTGAAGATCTTGCTGACACATTTGGATTGAAATTATTGCATATGAGAAATAACTTTGAAATTACTGGAAATCTGAAAGACCGCAAGCGCACACAGTAAGGTTTCCGGTACCTATGCCAGAAGGATCAGGATGCAGTGAAGCTTGTCTGGTAATCTGTTGCAATGTGTGCAAGTGCATGAAGGGATTATACTATCAAAGTTTCTTGCACCACTTTCTTATTAAAAATAACCCAGTGATGAATCTTGAAAATGGCTGGCAGTGCTTTGGGCTAAAAAAACCATATCTTGGTGACACTGCTTGCACACTCTGCACCCCGGCATACTGCTAACTCCCTTATTACTCCATCTTGCAGACATAGTGGCAAAGCAGAGAGTTTTCTGGACTCTCCTTCAAGTTCAATTTTAGGTCCTATATGTAGACCAGTAAAGTATCATGGATACCAGCATCATCATACATAAAATATTGGTTTAAATTTTGAGTAAATGAGAAAATTAAAAATGAACGGTTTCTAAAAAATCACTGATTTGCCACTATGCTTGCAGAAATGGTACCAATTTTTTTTTTTAAATGAGATAGGGGAAACACACCGTATTCCAACATCATGGGCAATTCCGATACTTCTCAACTTTTTCCTTCATATTAAGCTTTGTCTTAGTTCTACACATGCAAAGATGGTTGAAATTGTGATGTCATACTATGATACTACTGTCTGCCAGATTTACGCAAAACACTAGGTTTGGCGGGAAAATGTTAAGATCCTCAGAGGGAAAGTCCACGTCACCCAGTGAGAACATCAAAAAATGTGTCAAAGTTGATAGTTGACCTTCACCTTGCTCTACCAAATAGTGAACTGTTTTGGAGAAAGAATATTATGGTTTGAGACTTTCAAATAAGTCAGAATATATTAGGAATCCTTTAGGTATACTCGTATTTGCTGATTTTGAGTAGTAAATAAATTAATAGATGATTGCGAGCAATACTTGATTGCAAGCAATACTTGATTGCGCGCCATACTATTGCCAAAACACTAGGTCTGGGCCGTCTGGCAGGAAAATGTTGAGATCCAAAGAGAGACAGTGCACGGCACCCAGTGAGAACATCGAAAAACGTGTCAAAGTGTATAGTTGACCTTGCTCTACCAAATAGTGATAAACTGTTTGTGTAGAAAGAATATTTTGGTTTGAGACTTTTAAATAAGTCTATGAATATATTAGGAATCCTTCAGGTGTACTTGTATTTGCTGATTTCAAGTGGTAAATAAATTAATAGATGATCAAGTTAAGAGACAGTTTTAGACACATAAAAACTAATTCCAACACAGCTTGGAATTAGACACACACAGTTTGTTCCAAGCTGTGTGCAAAAATTAAAATTTTCTTAATTAAAAGCTTAATAGCTCTTAATTAAAAGCCTAATTAAGTAGTGTTCAATATTCAATAGTGTTCTAATTCCAAGCTGTCGTATTCCAATACAGCTCACACAGCGATTGGAATTCAAATACAAAGGGTCGGAATAACAAATTAGTAGAGTTTGAAGCGTGGCCGGAATTAGTCTCATAAAATGCCTAATTTAGTCACACACAGCATCGGAATATATGGATTTGGTAGATTTGCATTCTAAAGGCTTTTAAATAAATATGACAACATTTTGTGACGTTTCATTGTTGCTGCACTTGCTGGCGCGTAGTGCGGTGTTTTGAGAGTGACGTAAAGCAAACAGAACGTGAGTTGTGCACACGGTGATTTTTTTATAGCCATTCATTTTTTGCTATGTCCTTAATGTATTGGAATATACCGCATTTACCCTATTTCAACCATCAACGAATGCGTGGAACTAAGCTTAATATAAAGGAAAAAGTTGAGAAGTGTCGGAATTACCCACGATATTGGAATATACCGCGTTTACCCTCAATCAAATGTGTGATATCTTAACTTGCTTTATGCTACATAGATTCTACCTAGATAGTAAAAATGTTGAACTTTATGCCACTATTGTTAGGTAGTACCTACTTTGTTAGTTTTACAATATTTTGATAAGTTTAGCTGCTACAACATTTCTACAAATGGTGGGACAACTGTCACAATTTACCCTGCATGTCTGGTGTCTCTTATTATCTAATTTGAAATGTAAGAAAAAATTTTCTTAATCCTTTCACGGGTAAGTTACCATATATGATCACTTCAAATCGCGTCACAAAAAGCCTCACCACGGCTTCCTGTTTGTTTTTGAGGCATCCTTATAATGCCTCAGTCAATCCCTAATTATCTGACCATCGTTCTATCTATAGCATCACCAGTTGCAAAGTCCACAAATTGAAATATGAGCATTTAAATGAAGGTTTTGACTCGGACAATGGAATTGACGCTCTTTCCGCATTTTTTTCAGAAGGTGGAAGTATCAATATATATTTCTTTATTTTGGCTAGGGTAAACGCGGTATATTCCGACACATTAACGACGCATCAAGAAATGAAAAACTATAAAAAAATAACCGTATGCGTTACTCGAGTTCTGTTTGCTTTATGTGACTCGCAAAACACCGTACTACGCGCCAGCAACGATGAAACGTCACAAAATGTTGCCATATTTATTTAAAAGCCTTTAGAAAGTAAACCTACCAAATCCCTATATTCTGACACTGCGTGTGGCAATATTCGGCACGTGGTGAGGCGTATTCCGTCCGCGCTTCAAATTCTACTGATACATAATGCCGTCATCCACGTGTTTGAATTCCGTTTGCTGTGTGAGCTGTATTGGAATAGGGTAAATGCGGTATATTCTGACACATTAAGGACACATTGAGAAATGAAAAACTATAAAAAAAACGTATGCGTTAGGTAAGTTCTGTTGGCTTCACGTGACTCTCAAAACACTGCACTACGCGTCAGCAACGATGAAACGTCACAAAATGTTGCCATATTTATTAAAAAGCCTTTAGAATGGAAACCTACCAAATCCCTATATTCCGTCACTTTGTGTGGCAACATCCGACACGTGGTGAGTCGTATCCACTATGCAGAGGGTGGATGCAGCGTCGGCAATATATGGATTTTTAAGCCCAAAGCGTCGCCGGCCATTTTAAAGATGCGTCGCCGGGTAATTTTTAATGAAAAGCCATTTACGCTGAGTAATGACGAACTATTTACAAGCCACTAACTTATTACAAGGTTGCATGCACGTGTTACCCCAAATAACTAATTTTACCCTAAAAACAGTCCGGTTGTACAGCAAGTGTCAACTGAACAAGTAATAAAGCAGTCTGACCGCTCTAATGATGGCTGAAGACTGAGAAATATATTAAATGCAAGAATTTCAATCTAAATGTGTCGGCAAGATCTTCTGAAGGCAAAAATTTTGCCGATAATGCATCGCCGTAGGTCTTTAAATCTTCGTTCACTCTCTGCACAGTGGAGTTGTATTGCGTCAGCGCTTCAAATTTAACTGATACGTATTGCCAACATCCACGTATTCGAATTCCGTTTGCTGTGTGAGCTGTATTGGGATACAACACGGCTTTGAATTAGAACACTAACGAATATTGAACACTACTTAATTACGTTTTAATTGACAGCTATTAGGCTTTTAATTAAGCAAATTTCAATTTTTGTACAAAGCTTTGAACAATCTGTGTGTGTCCAATTCAAGTTGTGTCGGAATTAGTTTTCATGAGTCAAAATCCAACATCTCAACTTAATCATCTATTAATTTATTTACGACTTGAAAGCAGTGAATACAAGTATACTTAAAGGATTCCTAATATATTCACAGACGTATTTAAAAGTCTCAAACCATAATATTCTTCCTATAAAAACAGTTATTCACTATTTGATAGAGCCATGTCAACTGTCAAATTTGACACATTTTTTGATGATCTCACCACGTGGCATGCATTGTCTCTCTTTGGATCTTGATATTTTCCCACTAGATGGCCAAGACCTAGTGTTTTTGCAGTATTTCGACACGCAAATGTATGACGTCACCATTTCAACCATCAATGAACGCATGGAACTAAAACAAAGCTTAATATAAAGGAAAAGCTGGAGAGGTGACGGAATTACCTACGATGTCGGAATATGCCGCGTTTACCCTACTTCTTACTTTCTTGAAATGGTTTCTGAAATTTTAATTTCTGGATATTTCAATGCTTGCCCGCTAAAGGGTTAATATTAATATTACATGCATAATAATTTCACAGGTGATTTCCAAAAATTGTGGGTAAAGCCGCAAAGATGTGCCAATTTTTCAATTTGCAGAGAAAAATTTGGGATGGGCCTTCCTCACTTTAGTCACTTAAGCCTGGTCAGTTAGTCTTAGTGCCAGACTGCCAGGCAGCCAGTACAGTGAGTACCTAGGTATGTAGGATTGCTAGACGCTAGTAGGTAAGCTGGTAAAATCACAACTTCACAAGTTAGGCTACTCACCTATGATGACGCTCTTTCTCCTTGGAGCGGGATCGTGACCTGTGTCTCCTCTTTTTCTTTTCTTCTCTACTTCTGTCTCGATCCTTATCTCTACTTTTTTTGGAAGAACCCATATTTACAACCTAGATCAAAAGCAAATAGCTAAACCGGAGGACATACATCAAATAATGTCAATAATTGTATGAACTATAAAAACGTTCGATGCTACGGTCAGAGATGTCTGAGAGGTACACTTATTCAGGAGGACCATATAACTTTCGACACTGATGACACTCAGTAATGCGGCAGCAGATGAAAAAGTAAAAAACATAGAAGAACGATAAAAATAATATTATTTACAGTGAAAAGATTGCGACAATGCGTTAAAATATAATTATTTCAGGTATTGCAATTTTTTGTGGTATAAATTTGGGAAAAAACTAATTAAAAATAGTTCACGTCGACCGAACAAAGCAATGCCAATATCATGATTGATTGTCATACATTTTCATCACATAAAAACATGTGCTGAATTAATTCTGAATTCATATCTGCTGTCGGTAGCCTTATAAGCTATACCTGCGACAACCTTTACGGAGACTCTTCACATCAACATTATGCCTGAATACCTTAATCAAATGCAAACGTTTCATTTGTGGTATGAAGGGACCGTGTACTTAAGAAGCGTATCTGTCAAATATAAAAGCACAACTGGAAATGTCCTCAAAAATCTCAACATTAGAGTGATGATTGGGCATCCATTCCTGTAATTGATGTTTTCTTCGGTGTCCAATAAAAATAGTTTATGTAACTCAAAGTTTTCGTAATTTGGAAGACAAAGTATAAACGTTGAACGTAAAGCTCTCACAAACTCTCATTCTAAATATGCTATTGTGAAAAATGATACGATCGCAAATCATGTGCAAATCATGAGAATCCATTTCTGTTATTGAAATTTTCATCGATGTCTCGAGAAAAATGGTTAGTGTTTCTGAAAGTTTTCGTACTATGGCAGCCAAGTAGAAACTCCAAACGTAAAGCTCTCACGAACGTTCATTCTAAAAATGCTACTGTGAAAAATACTACTATTGCAAATCATGTGCATTGAAGCTTGTAATGAATCATAAAAATATTATTGAGAATTTACTCGAAAAAGCTGCTAATTTTGCGAGATTTGTTACGAGAAAGCCTGCAGAGCCTTTACAACTAGCAATTAAAAGCCAACTATTTTGTTCATTGTGTAATTTCACTACAATATAATTTTTCACTCCACCTAAGCTATGCGATTACGATTTGCAGTGATCATGAAGATATAATTTTAAATTCGAGCGTTCACTGCAAGAACTTTTTACTGGCCTAAGTACATAAAAATATTTCATGTACTGGATTTTTCAATTCAGTACATCAAATTGATTTGATGGATTTGATTTGGATTTCCAAGTACATCAAAATATTTGGTACGGCTCCTCGTTGCTCTCATGATTCGAAAATCTTGACTGCTATGCTGTGTCTATTTTGAGTCGCCGTAACATTGCTACAACTGTATCAATGTAGTTGTATTTTCTTTGAACGATTTTTAATTTGTAACAGAATTAGATGTGATTTTCAAAATGGCTTAGAATGTTTCCTTGGGCCATAAAAGTCTTCTAACAGCACTTGGACGTGAAATAAAATGAAGATCTTACTAGGAGAATAACTGAGCAAAAGATGAGTGCCTCGGGTGCTGAAAAGTTTTGTAATTTTACCAATTTGGTTCATATATTACAAATTAATTTCTGGCCTTTATAAAAATCGTACAAGAAACCGTAATCCATGATAAATGAAAACTTCTGCAATCAACGAAAGAGTTGTGTCCTTTGATGAAATTTGCCACAACATTGGAATCGTTAGCCGGCGAAGCGGTGCACCTTGGGCTGATGGCTGTATCTTCTCGTGACGCGGCTCGTCCTCGCGGGTCTCCCTCTCAGTGCTCTGGTTACTGTTGTTTACTGGCTCTGTAAACACGACCCGGCACGTGGATGCTTACGGAGCAATAGCTGCACCGCACAGGGAGGTGGCACCTCCATGGTCCAACGTGTTCCATCAAGATGATAGTTTTCGTAAATAATAATAGTCGACAAACTGTATTAAGAAATGTATTAAGAAAGATGTCGGAATAAAAATGAGTAGCACATAATTTTAAATGAGGCTTTTTTTATGTTCTCTTACCTTATAATGAGAGATGCATGGATGGGTCGGGTGAACGCGGTTTCAATTCGGATATTGTTAAGATAATGACTAAATTATGTAATTGTTCAGGTTCAGTACAAAAATATTGCAGAAATGTCACAGGTGCAAACAGACGAAAATTTTAGTAGAAACTCTATGATTGTTGTTGAACAATTGTTGACAATTGTTGTCAGAAGATTATTAATAATGGCCACCTATGGACGAACGGGCATCATTTAAGTATATTGTATTCATATTTATTTGATTGTTTTCTTTCCTGAATGAAAATTTTGCAGTTTAGTCAGAAAATGGAAAAGAAGAAATTATTCATTTTAAATTTAATCCGATATTTTCAGTTAGTGATCGCTAATACGTTCCCGTAGTATAGTAACAAGCATTACAGTTTGAGCGTATGATTTTGGTGGGCAAGGGTGTTGAAAATTTAGATCAGTCGCTTCGATCCATATTAAACGTGAATCTGTCAGATTATGAACTGTCGATCTGCAGTACTCGTCTACTATGAGAAAATAGATCACAAATTAAATATCATTCACCTGCTTTGCAAGGTAAATTAACATCCATGAAACGGAATTAGTTACTTCAGATTATACTATATATCTTTAACTCTGCGTTAAATTCAAGTTATTTATAACATAGAGTTCTTGATAATAACTGAGGTTTTAGGCACAAAGTAAAGTATCTTCGACACAGAGTAAGACACAAAGCTTTACTCTGAGCTCGCGCAACTTACCATCGCTGTTTACACTGCGTATGACCAAGAGTAAACACGCGGCATCGTTAACAAAAACACCCGTCATAACGCACCGTAAACACCCGCGTAAACAAAGCTTGAATAATAAACAAAGTGTGCCGAACATCATCATTAGCCGGTAATTATTACAAAGCTAAAAAAATGAGAGTTTACATGCATCTATAATAGTTTCCCTGCGGTATTGTCTCGTTGCGCTGTCGCGAGTCGAGCGTGTTTGAAAGCCTTGTGTACACATGGGGCCGACTTACGCACCAACGCCCGTACTGAACGCGTACTGTAGCCAATGCGACTATACAGCACCTTGTTATCTGAAAAGTAATGGAATTACTCAACTTGCGCATTCCAAATTCAACAGAAGAAAGAGTAATGTAGTGTTAATTATAAAGAATGTAGTGTTAATTATAAAGTTTCGGAGTTTGATGTTAGAGTTAGGTACATAAAATCACAGAAAAGTGGATTATTTTGTATTTAGTAACCATTTTAGCTTTTCAGACAAATACATTCGTCTCGATCATGATAGACTGGGCTCATGTGGTATGTAAATAAGTTAATTAGCAAGTGAATTAGAAATAAAACCTTGTATTTATGTGACATTTATTGATATACTGAATAAAATATTCTAAAATAGTAGACGGGTTCTTAATCAATATGGACATGTGGGTCGGCACGCCGCCGACAGCGATACTCCCTCAGCGCCGCCGGCTCCGGTGTCCGTCTTGGGCCGTCAAGGCTTGGTCCGCGGGGGCGGATCTCGCGAGCCGGATTTTCCGTAGGCTCATAAAGAGACAGTGAGATGAATAAAATTAAACTGTGATTTAAGCAGCCAATATCGTAATAAAAGCCGTTCGGAGTGTTCTGTAAACCAAGCTTTGCTGCAGGAGTGTAATACAGCCGGTTTCTTCTTCGCGCGGGTTCGTTTCTTACTCGTGTGATGTACACTCTTTTCAACCATTAACGGTTTATTTAAACAAGACTAAATGGAATAGTTATTACATTTATACTGTGGAACGTAAGAAATGGAAGAGTAAATATATACACATGACATCATGGATGCCCAATACTAGTAAGACTGTAAGAGATCAGGACTCAATAAGAGCCCAATACGTCTCAATAAGAGATCAGGACTCCTACTTGATCCGAGAGCACCCCAGACGGGATTTTCAAACTCGACCTCTAATATGGTCTATGGCCCACTCTCCAGGAGCCCACTGACTCCAGCTCAACAACTGTTGAGTTGAAGTGACAATCCACAAATTGGAATTAGAGTGCCCTCTCCCATTCAGTATACCTTCTAGAACTTAATTTACACCCTTACAAGGAAATGAACATCATCCACTGTTATGAGTATTTGAAAAACTCATGGAATGTAAGGGGGCTTGGCAAGCTCGTTACACGTCCGCACTTAATAGGAGCCTTGCGTCTCATGAGTGCATGGATGTAAGTGGATGAATGGCAGTCAATAAAATCGTTTCTTTTTATAATGTAACGCATAGGTAGAGCAAGCAACCTCTTAATATTTATTTTTGTTCTATAGGAAATCAGTGGTCTGAAACTTTTGCACGGTGTGAACACAAGCCACAACTACAAGTCTTGATGCCATAGCACGACATTCTCAATCTCGACCTCCGTGAGAAGCTCTCTTGGCCCCACGCATACAGATTGAGAAATGAATGCGAACTGGAGTAGGAGATGACGTATGGAGTTAACAACGTCAGTGACGTCACCCACGCGGAGTGTCACTCTCAATTAGCGGACAGTTTTGGGTTCTTGCTGCGATAACTAGGATTCCTTTACGTCTTTTCCTTCGACCTGACTGGGCCATTTACGAGTTATTGCATGTTATTTGCTTCTTCCCCCGTGACTGAAGTGAACATACGGCAAAGTTACGGCTGTCTCGCGTAGTCTTACGGTTCTGAATCAAGACTCGCCTGATACTCTAATGGAAGTCAAAGTTGCGTGCGATAAGCGCCGCTCTCAAAGCTCCCTTGAGCCACCCTTGCCCTGTGGCTTCTTGCTTACGCGCTCACCGATGCTCGCTTGTTTGTGCTAGTGCAATACGCACATTTTCTCAAGATTTATTCCGAGTTTAATTTGATAAATCGGTAAATTTTTGGCCAAATTGGAATTCATGTTCGAAAAGGAATGATTATCAAATTTCGATGAAAAATTTTGTATGATTATAGTAGTACATCCGATTCTGCCAGAACGGAATGACCAATTTTGATTAAACAGCAATTTTGCATGATTATTTTTTTTTTTGTTTTCGAGATTAAGATTGACACACAACCGGCTGATGGATCTGTATT